TGGAGTGAATACACTCATGGGCAACCAGCGCACCATCCAGGATCAGCCTTTGTTGGATGAAAGCAGATTGGGACTGTGAAATGATCAGGAAGAACCTGCTAGAGTCTGGACGCCAGGGCCTTGGCCAAAATTTGTAAGAAGAGTTGAGCAAGCTAATAGGACAAAAGTCCTTTAGCTCTTCAGCCCCTTCTTTCTTAGGGACAAGGGCTAAGAAAGTGGCGTTAATAGCTTTGTTGAGGATCACTCTATGATAAAATTCTTCAAAGAAACTCAAGAGGTCTGGTAGAAAGGTACCCATAAAAGAATTGAAGGGGGCTATGGGAAACCCATCCGGCCCCGGAGCTTTGTCTTTGGCTAATTGGTCAATGGCGCTGGAAATATCCTCTACTGTAAAAAGCCTTTCCAACCAACTTGACCAATGATCTGGAACTGTGAGGAAGTCCAGAGTGGTCATCCTAGGCCTGTGTCCCATAGGGGCAGAGTAGAGAGACCTGAAGAAATGGAGGATGGCTGTTTCAATTTCATCTGGCTGGGTAAGAGAGTGATTTTCCAACTTAATTGTGGAAATCAGGTTCTTTCTTCTCCGGCAGTTCGCTATGCAGTGAAAGAAAGCAGTGTTCTGATCCCCTGTTTTTAGCCATTTGACTCGGGATCTCTGGTACCAAAAAAGTTCTTTCTTGAGAGTAGCGAGGTATTCCAACTTGGATTGGGTTCTAAGAAGCACTTAGAGTCTGAAAGGGGTCTAGCTTCTTCTATTCTATCAATGTCTTGAATGGAATTTAGCAAAAATCTTTAATTGAGAATAATTCCCTGGCCGAGATTGACTCCCAAGTTTTTAGGGACTTTTTGAGAAGCTGAAGTTTGGTTTGAAGCTTGAAACCCTCTCTACCCGAGACTTGGGAAGAGAAGGAATTCCACCAACTAGGTATGAGACTCAGAAGGGGATGCTCTTCAAGCCAAGCCAATTCAAAACGAAAAGGTTTTGGCCCCCTACGGACCACCTGTGTATCAAGAAGAATAAGACAGTGATCGGAGGTGGGTTTAGGCAGGGTGAGTGCGTGTGATTCAGGAAAAGCAGCTTCCCAATCCAGAGAAAGAAGGAAGTGTCCAGTTTAGCCAGGGAAGGCTGAACAGAGTGATTGGACCAAGTGAAGGCATTCCCTTGGATAGGAATGTCTAGAAGTTCTTGTCAAGATATGAAGTCGGATAAATTCAACATACCCTAGGAAATATTGCTGTTAAGGTTTCTCTCATGGGACCATCGGGTGATATTGAAATCACCGCTCGGGCACCACGCACTGTGGGGTAAGGCTACTACAAAGTCCAATTCAGACCAAAGACAGGAACGGAGGGAAGCTGAATTGGGTCCATAAATGGCAGAGAATTTGAGCAGCAAACCATCTGTAGCCCTAGAAAGGAGAATGGTGATCGAGAAATCTCCTATGTGGGAGGAGTGGAGATTAAACTCATTTGGGTTCCAAACCACCCAAATACCACCGGAAGCCCCTGTCACCGGTAGTGAAACTCATTGACACTAAAGCGTACGAGGATTCAGAAAGGTGGGGAGACAACACAGGGGGATAAAGGTAAAGTGGCAGGGGCACGGGTTCATCAGGGGTGGGAGAAGACAGCGGATCAGCGGGATGACCAAAGAGTGGTACACCATGGGAGGGTTCGAAAACTGGTGGTGGAGAAGGAAGAGGCCCTGGGGGAGCATCAAACGAGATGGGCTTCCAAAGAGAAGGGGGCGAAGGCACACTGACAGAAGAGAGGTAGAGACTGGGAGTTGCAGGGGGGTTGATAGGTCCCAAAGAGGGCGGTGGGGTGTAAAAGGACCGTAGTCAAGAAGAGAGGGAGGATAAGTCTGAAAGGGAAGGAGGACAGTAGTCACCCTGCCGAGGGGAACAAGAAGAGCAGATAGGGGAAAAAAGGGGGTGAGGAGTTCAAAAAGAAACGTTGGGTCAGGGGGGGAGGGGTCAAGGGAATCCACAGTGATGATTCCATACGAAAGAAGGGAAGTGTCCAGTTCCATAGCCAGCTCTAAGGCTAACAGTGGAAAAACACTGTTAGAAAGAAATTTGAGGGGTAAGAATGTCAAAGAGAGTATAGCAGGGACCAGGGTCGGAGGGAAGAGGAAGTCCTGGTTCTCTCTTCTTTGGTGCTAACATTCACAGGATGGGAGAGAAGGGACCGGCAGGGGGAAGGAGTTTGGGAGGAGGTGTGAGGGGCCAAGCAAGGGGATGAAGGTAGCTCTAGGGAGGTAAGAGGAGCAAGGGAGCACAGAGAGGTGATAGGTTTGCTATGATGGCAAAGAGGACCATCACGGGGGAAAAGGCAGGTGAAAGGACAGTGGTAGATGAAGAGACAGAGGGAGGCTACTGTGTGTGGCTAGGTGGCAAAAAGAGGGGAGGGATGGCACCTCGGGCAGGGGAGGGAGCGTCAAACGAAAGGACATCAGCTTCAGCCGAAGCAAGGGAAGACGGCCGAGGGGTGCCATTTGTTGTTTCATTAATGCCTGAGGCTCGCGATGAGTCTGGTAAAAGGCGTGTGGCCGAGACTCCAGATGTTGAGACGTCCTCAAAGGACCTCGGGGTGTGCGTCGAGTCAGCAGCAGGGACCGAAGGCAAAAGCCCGGTCAATGAGGACGGGACAATGGTGTTACCCGATGTCCAAGAAGGGAACGGGTAGTCAAGTCCACTACAATCTCCTTACCGGGTCGATGCGCTGAAGGGGCTGGAGGGCCCGAGGATAACCGACAAATACCACTAACCCCACCGCCTTCTGGGACTACTCCTGAGAGGGTAGGCCCTAGGCCGGACTGCAGTGCCGACTTACTGACTCCACCGTCTCCGAAGGGTTCCAAAAGACTACCACGTGGTTTCCAGGATGTCGTCTGGGAATGAGCAGGTAAGCTTGGCCGACTGTCTCCCAGGCCAGGAGGATGGCCATGGAAGTTCCGACGGCGCTGCCACTTAGCATTGCCGGATTTCCTTGAAACTTTGTTCCACGAGGAGAAGGAAACCTCCTCCAATGGGGAAAGATGGCTAGCAATAAGATCATCCAAGGGAGGGGAAGCCTCAAACCATGACAGAGAAATCGGAAAGAACAAATTTTCCACTTCAATCCACACGCATGGTGGAATACATTTAGGGTCCAAAACCTCCACAAGTAGCAGAATAGAACCAAGCGGGAGAGTTTCCAAGGACTTCCAACAAATAGAAATTAAACTGCCACAGGCCTCCACAATCCTCCTAAAAGTAGCAGGAGACCAAGCATGGAGGGGTAAATGGTGTAACGTGAGCCAAACTTTTTGCTTTCTAAGCGAACTTTCCTACAGAGTCCAGGCTCGAAGGCGTAGATTTGCCCCTTTGAACGCCACAGGGTTGGAGTCCTATAACACCTGGCGAGCCTGTTCTTGTGATGAGAAGGTGAACAGAGAGGCACCTAGTAGAGATATTAGAGCCCTTCCATAAGTTTTGTGCCCATTTTCCTATTCCTTTGAAGTCGTCACGAGGAGGACGGAACGTGCCTACCAGTGATGACTGAAACTTGGATTTAAGCAAAGAGGACTCTTCATGGGGGATGGACACGAAGAAGGGACAAAACGGGGAAGTGCAGCGAGGGAGAGAGGGGAACTCCTTAGGGTCTATCGAAAGGCAAGCAGGAGGAAGAGAAGGTGACGGGCGAGCGGCTACTTCCAAGAAGGACACAAGAGGCCTAGGTTCTGTTGCCGAAGACGTCCCTTGTGGATAACAGGATGCTTGTGGCTGCACCGCCTGCACTGTCTTAGGAGGTGTTCTGAAAGAGCGCCAGTGAGTAATAGGGTAAAGGTCGTAAATGTGGCTCCAAAAAACAGGAAAAGCCAGGATCCGAGAAGGGGGACCCCCGGTAGTCAGAGGAGCTGAATGGGAAGGTCGAGGGGGAGCAGAAGGTGGAGGAAGACGACGTCTTCTCCTCCTCATCTCATAGATTATCTATTGCAAGTTGGATTTTAAATGGATAATCAACAAAAATGGGTTAATGGATGGTAGTAACCTTTCTAGAAATAATAGCCATAATACCATATTAAGATTGAGAAAGAAGAGAGAAAGTAAATTCAAGCACAAGATAAAGTAAATACAGATGTCTTTGAACACTATAAATTCAGTAGGAATTCAACTAATTTAGTCTTATTTATCAAATAAATAAATAAATACTAGTTTAGACTGTTTTACGAAACCTAACATGTCGACGTGGTGCTCTATTGTAAAAATTACAATAGAAAGGGTGCTTTCCATCTCTTTTGCATCAATCAGGAAAGGAGTGATGTTTTAAAAGAGCCATCAGCCATGCCATTGTAAATGGTGATGGCAAACACTTTCCAACACCTCCCAATTGTCCAAATGGAATCCCTACATATATTGCATTTAAATGCATCAATCCCTTTTCAAGCTCAGCTTTACTCTCTTATTATCATGCATACATTTAAAACCATAAAATCATTTAGTTGATATTTTCATGTAGACTTTATCCAATGGAATACCATGCTTGCTTGATTCGGTGGGCAGTTACATGGGTTAAAGATATATGTGATTATGAGAGACATTTGGATTTGTAGATTCCGGACTAGCGATTAGGCAAGGCTGCAGTCAGTTACAAAGGAAAGTGGATTCATGCCATCTCAGAGAAATTACTTATTAATTATTGTGATGATCAGTTTTTCATGTAAAGTAGTAATACTTTTTCTTTAGGAATCATCAACTTTGTAGAAGGACATCTATAAAAAAGATCAACTAAATAGAAGATTTATGGGATAGTATTTGCATTTGTTAACAAATGATCTAGTTGGGAAAAAAATTTATGATTCAGAATGCTTAACCTGTGTTTAACTGCATATATCTCGGATCTATTGTGCCTTGAAAGTTCTCTTTTCCATTGTCCTAGTATTTTCTGTTTTTTTTTCTGAACCTGGGATTTTTCCTTTTCATTTTTTGAGCTAAAAAAATCCACTTTTGTAACAGGGGGTTCTAGTTCTTGCTGCGACAAATCGCCCTCATGCGATTGATGCTGCACTTTTACGCCCAGGGCGTTTTGATTTGGTAAGAGCTGATTCTTGTTATGTGTGAATGGAATTGGTCTCATCTACCATGCACTTTTTGTGGAGTTGCTGTTTAATTACTTCAAACACGTGATTCCAGTCTATACTTCATCCACCATTAAATGGCATTATAACCTTGAAAGTGAAAACCAATCTGCACCACTACAAACTAAATCCCAGTCCCTGAACCATATGCGTGAGTCTTTGGGACCTATATTATATTATATCCAACCTCAAAATCTACTTCTGAAGCTGATTTTTTCAATCAATGTTAAAACCTTCCAAAATGCAAGAGCCTAAACAGACTGCAATGCCTAAAATTACAGTCTTTTCCCCTCCCACCCTGACCTCAACAGGAAAAACCACAACCCCAACGATGACTTGCTAAAAAACTCAAAATTTACCCAAAAGTAATCCAAGCCCTAAAATCACTTACCAAAAAATATCTAGTAATTATTAAATCAACCCTTGAACCATTAGGATTACGACTTCCATTTGTTACCATTTTGAATGTCAGTGCCCTCTATAGGTACTTTACGTACCCCCTCCTGATTTGGAAGCACGAAGAGAGATACTCCAAGTACACACACGTAACATGAAGTTAGATCGAGACGTGGATCTAGAACAAATTGCCAAAGAAACTGAGCTCTTTACAGGGGCCGAGCTGGCCGGTCTTTGCAGAGAAGCTGGCATTGTGGCTCTTAGAGAAGATATTTCGGCCACTGTTGTGTGTGGTCGCCATTTTGGGGTTGCAAGCAATTCATTAAGGCCGTCACTGACTGAATTACAGATTGCCGGTTATGCTACTTTCATGAAATAGCCATTGTTGAAAGCTTAGATTTGAGGTTTTATCAGGTTTAAACGGAAACTGGAAATTACAGCATGTATTTTTCTTGTTAGTGTTGAATATGCCTTGCAAGCATGTGCTTAATGCAGATGACCTCGGTGCATTTTTTGAATGGTAAGAAAAAAGATTTTGCTTGCGAGGAATTATGTAATGCCAGGAATTCGTTTGTTTCAAATAAGATAGAAATTTTATTTCATCAGTTTTGGGAAGATTAAGAGAGTTATTTTGGTGAAGACAGAGTGTTGGACTAGTCAAGTATCTGGTATTAATTTGTACAAGAGACCTACTTGAGAGAATTTTTTAAATCTAAAATTTTGGGAACTACCTAAAAATTACTACATAATTATTCTCAAAAGCAAAGTTTTCTTACACTGATTTCAGCTTCTAAAAATCTAATGCTCTCTATACAATCTCGATACATTTTTTTCAAGTGCAACGAGGACACTCGTCTTATTTAGGTTACTGTAAGGGTTGAAGATCCTTAAAATTTGGGGTATTAAAATTAATTTTATATATGGTTTGTATTTAAAGGGTGCGGTTTGTATAGAGCTTAGGCTCTAAACAATTAAATTAGAGCCTACCTTCAAATAGTATTGAGAAATGTGATTTTATTATTGAAAATCTTTGTGATAGCTTTAAAATATATTTTTATATTTATTTATGAAATTTAGAACTTAAAAAATAATGCAGATTGATAGATTTATGAAAATTAGAAAATCTTGAAAATTGACGGTCCAAAATTACATTACAAAAGAAACTATTTTCAAAACTTGAAATCCATTTTGTCCATGCATCTTGATGTGGAGATCAATATGAAAACAACCTCTTCTAGTAAAATATTTGAGGTAGGCTCAAATTTGATTATTTAGAGCCTCGGCTCTACATAAACTTTCCCCTTACTTAAAAGGGAGTAAACAGATGGCATACTCCTTTAGAAAGTATAATATCTTGTCTTATGGCTTTGTACAAATCAGCAGTATGAACTGCAAAATATTGTAATTGAAATACTTTTTTAAGGCCTTAAAACATATGGAATTCAACGAGTGCCTGAAGACCATTAGAGTGTAACAATGTCTTTAAAAAATGAATCAGAGAGTTGAACCCAAGTAGCTTCACTGTATATCCTTTTAAGGCCTTAAAACATATGGAATCCAACAAGTGCCTCTTTGACCATTAAGCGTGTAATAATGTTTTAAAAACTGAATCAGTGAGTTGAACCAAGCTAGCTCCACTGGTTCTGATCCTCCACTAGCTGGCTCAGAAAGTTTCCTTGAATTTGAAAAAGTTCTAAAAAATCCAGTGCAAACCAAGCAAGTCCGAGGGCCTTAAAAACGAGACTGCCCACCATTTCCAAACCTGCTCAGGTGGTTTCCAGCCAGCATGCCGGTTTATAAAATACTGGTTTAGAGTAAAAAGCATGTATCCTAGGAACCAAGCCAGAAATTATCATCTACATGACTCCCTCTCTCACACAGACATATAGAGAGAGAGACTATTCAACGAAGCTGATACACTACTTCACATTTCAATAAGGACGGCGTGTTCCTTAACACCCTAACCAAAGTTTTAATGTATACAGTAAAATGGTATATAGGGTGTAAATTTGGATTCCTTCATATGCATAGCCCTAATCATGGAAATTCGCTTATATAACATCCAAAACCTCCATTGACAAACTAATACAAACTACTAAACAGGTGCGTTTCATTTGCTAAACCCATACAAATGACGAGAGAGAAAAAGAGATCTCCTAAGAGGTCCAAACAGGTCTCCATATCAAAAATCATGGGAAGTAAACGGGCCAGTTAAAATAGTATGAATCACGAACTTCCTTCTTCATCTGGTTCCACTGCAGGAAAGGACAAAAAAAGAACTTGTTAGGAAAAACCATGTTTTAATATGAGAGTGAGAGAGATAGATGAGCTGGGAGGTTAAAAAGTAAAGGGCATTGTTGTTTTCCATAATTATGTGTAGGCGTAGCCTAGCAAAACCCATATATAAATAGTAAACTTTTATATACATTATATATAATATATCGGGTTGGGTTGACCCTAACCCAAACCGGATTTGGTCTGAAATGTACCCAGACACAACCCTGATCGATCCATTTCAAATGGACCCCAACCTGACCTATTGGGTTCACTATCCCCATCCAAAACCGGACCCAGATCGGTTCCACCCAACACGATTGCCATATCTACTTAGGAAGTGTCATTTAATCATATGGCAATTTTATATGTAGCATATTATATCATAGAGCAATGATTTCAGGCAACTGTTGTATAGTAATATGATGCAACAACCTTAAAAAACCATCTTATGGCCATTTGGTGGATCCAAATTTTGACATATACACTCTTTTCATTCTAATGAACAATCACAAAAAAAGAAAAAATTGAAGATGAACAATGTTAAAAAAGAACAAAAATGATTTTGAATTTAAAAAGACAAAGATCTTGAAATTCAAAAAATAAATGGTCTAGATTCGTTTTTGGAGGGGACTCATTTTGACCATATCTAGGATTCAAATTTAACCTTTTTTTTTGGGAGGATTGATTATTGAGATGAAGAGAGTGTGTGCAAAATTTGAAGTCATACAAATACTACAAACATGGTTTTCTAGAAGTGT